TTCTTTACATAGCCGATCGGAACTACCTCGGAAATGTCGTCATCATAGTGAACAAGAATAAAGTTCGGCATTTTCGGGCAGCAGAGACAAGGTGACAACAGCGACGCGAATAAAAGAAAAACGACATAAAACAAAATGGCGTCCTTGGATTTAGATTTGACTTCGAATCCGATGCGTTTTCTGACTAGACCGCTAGACCGGCCAGTAGCAGCGTTGATGCTAGTCACGGTGTAGTGCCAGTGAAAATTTTATTAATTACAATACCATTTTTAATTTTACGTTGAACCAGCGTATGTTGTGAATTGCACAAATATTCAGAAAATCCAAAACTGGCTTACGGAGATGGTTACAGGGTGTTTCACGAAAGGTGGACAAATTCGATATTGCGAAAACTACGCGTCGCAACAAAAAAGGCTTGTGTCGTTTTGGTCCTGAGCCAGGGGCCTATTCTGGAAATGCGATTTTGTCCACTTTTCGTGAGCGAACTGGACAGGAATGACGAAAATGATCCCTGGAGAAGGAACACAAGAGGGACAAAGGACAAACACAAATCTCCAAACACAGCTAGGTGACTTGTGCGCGACCCAAAAAATCCGCCGGTCTGGGTTCTATACCCGGACACTGCCACGCCGGCACCGCACGAGGAACAACAACGAACAGTAACCACGTGTGTCAAGGAAACAGAAGAACACCTAAACGCCGAAACGAGCGCCTACAACTAGCATATGGATATTATGCTGGTACCAGGCGCCGCAAAATGTAACGTGCCCTAAACACGTTAAAAAAAAAAAAAGGCATTATTAGGTTATATATGAGCCCGAGCAGCTAAGCCAAGAGTGAAGCCCCGGAGAATTCGATTGAATCAAGGAGATTATATTGAACGGCTCTTCGGAACCGCCAAGGTACGGCAAGCAACCCAGAGGCTATATACCAATCGGGCGAAGCGGAAAATGATGTTGCGGTGTGCCCATCAAATAATCGAATGCTTGCTCGTGTCGACGAAACGATTTGTCGATGAAACGCTGTTTAATGAACTGATTGGCACCGAGCCAATTACTGTTCCCTATATGTCTACAAATACATGCTTTAGGTTCCGGCTTTACAAAAATAAGTAGCTATACGTTTTATGTAGCTGTCTATGATTTCGAAAGTGCTTTCTTGTCAACATATGGAGGGCGCATGGTAGCGCTTTTAGACGAGGACGAAGAAGAGACCTAGACACGCACGAGCGCTAACTGCAACTGAATGAATAGTTGCAGCCAGCGCTTGTGGCAGAGTGGGCAGAGTGGGCTAGCGTACACCAGCTCGGAGCACGTGGAGCGAAAGTTCGCGCTACAGAACCCAGGGATCCTGGTTTGAATCCCCGCCTCCGGCCGTTTCGATCTGGATATGAGCATTGTACCGGCGTGCGGTCGTGTATCACTACTGCGTGGTGCACGTTAAAGACCCCAGGCTAGCGGTTGTACTGCACTGGCTAAATTGCTCATCTACAGCTGGGAGACCCGTCGCGTCCGTTGAGGCAGACCAAGCTCGAGCTGTATAAACATACACACAACCCAATTTTCTAGTCCCTTCTTCGTCCTCGTCTTAAAGCGCTACCATGCCCTTGACATCCCAATTAGCCCAGCATTCTGTATTGACAAATAAGATATCAAATGCGACATGCTCAGCTAGGGTTGTAATATCGGATCGCTCTGGACAAACACTTTTGTACACATATATCCTATCCTCGGAATTCGGTAGACATCTCCACAAGTCACAGTAACATGTTCGCTTATCACGCTGTCGGTGTCTTTCCTCTTTGGGTACCGTAGGACCGCAGCGCGAAGATGTAAGTACGCCTGGTACGTATGCCGGAGAGCACACAGGGACCATGGCGCCCGATAAAGTAAAATATACAGGCCATCTACTCAACGCACACCATACAGTAATACGTTTTCTGTTAATAAGCTCATTTGGATAAGAAATCAGTCGATTGATCATACTTAATTATGCTGAAGCTTTGATGTCGAGATGGAGGGCGTGAAATCTCCATGGCCATTCTCCGGAACCTAGGAGCTAAGGCTCATGCAGGAATACTTAAGAAATAATCGTTAGAAATTATTTGAAAGTAAACAGATGAAACCTGATCAGATAGTTTTATTGATTATTTAATAAACTTATCGGCGCATTCGATTGTAACATGCGTTACGTACTATTTCCAACTCTAGCATGCCCTTGTGATCACGTAGCTCGTGCGTACTGAGGTGCATAACATAACTATATGAGCGAATGGTGTTTTAACGAACGACTATTTAGCGAATAGAAATCCTTTGAGCGAATGGACGTTTCCGCGAATGACCGTTTAAGCGGTCATTCGTCCGCTTAAGCGGTCATCAAGACAGACCACCTTTTGATATCCCTCGTGGTAAATAAATGCAATATGAAGTTCGAGGGTGCCACGCCTAGGGTTCACCGCCAAGGGTTCGGCAAGCCAGGCTACTAGCACAGAGCCATTCGCCAGTGCGGAGTGCAAGCTTGTCTTCTACTTGTACAGTGGTTGCGGTGATGTCAGAACGCCGAGCTCTTGTTGGCTGATTAAAAGATAATAGTGGGTAGACCTCGAGGTACCTAGAAATGAGGTCTGCCTACAATCTTTCAGTCAAAGCCAATCGGAGCTCAGCGTCGATCTGATGTCCACGCAACTCCTGCGCAAGAAGCAGACGACTTGGTCTGGTTTCGTTTTCGTTCGCTAAAACATCGTACGATGAAGTAAATGCCTTCCCGTATACTGAATGTCCATTTTGTCAACTAAATATTTTGTGATACTTAATTTTTTTTATTAAATTATCGCTCTAGGTTGTTTAAATAATATTTGCTGCTTTTGCTGGCTTGGAATGCCTGCATTTTACCAATTTTTACCGCCAAGAAGAAATTGTCTCATATGTTATCCAATCCAATCCGATCCGATCCGGCGTACGCACATGGTGCCAGTTGTTGTCACCGGGTCTGTGGATGATTGCTGGTGTCTCTTCGTTTCATTTGAGTAGCTAAAGGCTTTGATCGGGTCAACATGTCTGGCACGAAGCGGAAGCAGTACTTGGAGCCTGGAAATGAATTTGTGCTACCGAAAGCAACTGCCTGGCGCAAGCAAATGAAGAAAAACTACGATGGTACTGCGGATGAAACCGATGAACCCGTAAGTTAGAATCGTTCGCGGAAGATATGAATAGACGATTTGGTAAATTTCCCAATTACCAAGGGCTAGCAGCGAGTATAGTTGGGCTAGCAGCGAGTATAGTTACACGAGCTGCACGCGCTTGCCTTGCACATTGTTAGACGCTTTACGTCAGCGTCTATCGATCTTTCCGATAAAGAGCTTAAGTCGGTGCCATTTGCAGCGTTCGTGCGTATGGCGCGTGCTCTGCTCGCTTTTCCAAGCGACGAACACGCACGGGCTGGACTGTTAGTCAGCACGTCTGGACTGTGACATTTGTAAACATTGGAATCGTCTACAGACGATGCCGCTGTTTACAAATGTCACAGTCCACATGGGCTCGATCAGACCACCGAGCGCGTGCTTAACACTGGGGCGTGCCAGAGAATGCTCGTGCGAAATGCACAGACACGGCAATGAATGCTCCCTGAGACGCTGGTATGGAAAGGTTTATTGTTCGGCTCATCTTAGCATGACCTATTGTTGACCGCACGTGCCTGAAGAGGGAGATAATCGTTTTGAATGACGCCTGGGCGGCTGCACTGCAGTCGTGCGGCGCGAGCGTCAGTCGGGGTCAGGCTGTCTCGCGCTAGCACGGCTTCTCCGGTTAGCCCATGCTAGGGTGAGACGAAGTAGGGGGTGCCGAGCGTTAAGGGGGATATGCAACATTTTCAGTTCGCTTTTCCATACATTCTGCAAGTATAGTCCAATGTAATGCACTGAGCCAGAAGTTTCGTTGTTGCTGTATAAGCTCAAGAGTAAAACATATATTTTCTTCTTGCCTTCGCGAAACTTGGTTACGCGGTCCAGGGCCATAGGGTTGCGTAGTCACAGGGTATCTTGTTCACCCTTCAGGTGTCAGCACAGCGAAGGCCATAAGCGCGAGCTAGCCCACACTCCTTGCTTAGAAATGTTTCCCCCTAAAGCAAGCACTCGCTCCAGAAAAGCCCGCTTCAAAGCTACGATCATGTGCATGTAGCTTCCACTGCCCTGTAAATGGGGTGTGGTGGAGCCATGGCGTCAGCCCCAAGGGCCCCCAGCCGAATGCATCTTGTGGGTTGGGCATGAGCAGTGCGTCATTACACTGCTCAGGCTCTGGAACAACGATAGTCTGTGTAGAGATATGGGTTAGAGCTTATGTCCAATCATTGCGATGAGGGAAATAACCAAAATCTAACAATGTCCTGGCAGAGCACGTGTCCTTTACATTGCCAAACCTAGCGCATGGCTGTGACGAACAGGGGGGCATAAAAGCATGTCACGAGATCGGGTGGCCGCTTGATCGGGCATGCGAGTTGAGGGGGTGAAAAGTAATATTTTTTCTTAATTTTTTTTCAACTTCTGCTAATATGCAGATAGAAGCACTAACACTCTTTTCGCTTATTATGAGTCTCAAGGATTCTTTCTATACAGTATATGGCGAAAGTGAGAAAATAGTTGGACAGTCCCTTTAAAGCCCCCTACAAGGGTGCTCCTGTCAAGCATTCCAGTGCGGTTCCTTAGCCAAGAACATTTTTATACTAAATTGCCTGATTTTGAGTGTCCCGGCCATGCTTTCAATATTATTTTCTCACTTATGAAATTAGCATGCCTGGTTTTCTTCGAGTGTATGCACCAGCCAACATTACTAAAACTACTTTGGTGTACACACTTAACAAGCATGGCCTGTTGGTGCCACCGTCTTACTAGCTGGGGTGCGCTTCGGGGCATGCCATGCACACCCCAACAAGCGAGGTGGCGGCGCCTACTGTTACTAAAGGGAGTACGCTTTTATGCATCAATGCTCTTTTCTGTTTACCGCCAGGCAACCAAATGCTCGCCACTACTCTGCTTCACTAGCATCTCTCTAGCCACCATACTTAGTGCAGCTACTCTAACGCCTCTAAAGCTTAGGTAACAAAATGGCTGCCGCTACTCTGCTTCACTAGTAACTGCCGAGTCACCATACCTTAGTTTCGCTACTCTGAAATGAAGCTTATTCATTGGTTTTAGCGGTGCCCAAAGGCCACGCCTGCAAGCGTGTATAGCTGTGCAAGTTTTTATTAAGCGACTTCTGGTCGCCATGACACGGATCCCTGGACACCTCCGGTGCAAGTTTGGTTTGCATGGTTCAATGAGGACATAAACCAATTTTCAGACTTTGTCCAAATGAATGTGGCAGTTACTCTTTATCGCAAAGTACTTCTATCTCTGATAGTCATACAAATGGCCAAAAGAAAGTAGACATTATCCAAGAGGTTCAAATGCTCGTGCCCAAAAAAGATTATGACGAAATTGGCCGAAAATTGGCCTAGCCAGCGCTCTGGTTAATGAGGTGCTGTTACGATTTTATTCCAGGACAGCTCACCTCTCTCCCAGGTACCTGGGACCCCTAACCAAGCACCACTGCTGGTATGTATTTTTTCGGTTGGTTAATTCAAAAGTAAACCTTTGGTACATTCATACTTTCGCCCCATCTTCTCACAAAAAACAAAACAAAAAACAAGCCGGTCTGATAAAAAAAAATGTTCTTTTAATGTAAGACTTGTCAAGATATTAGGCACTCGAGAAAACCAGACCTCAGCCTTGAATCTTTATTATTGCAAAAGCATTAACAGTCCGATGGAGCGAGCCGACGTCGTCAGCTGCGCCAAACAGCTCCTAAATTCCCCTGTCCCAATGGAGCGAAGCGAAACCACAACCTGAAGCATCCCAGCTTTGAAGCCGTGCAAAAAGCCACGCAAAATGGCAGATAAATTCACCTTTATAAAAGGAGCGAAATGAAGCCAACCTCTGATGGATTACTCTCTTATTGGCTGGTGCACATCATCAAGGGACGAGGCACCCATTGGCTCTCGTGCGGCGTGGTTGCAAAAACCACCACCAGAGAAGCCCTCTGTATGGCGGCGCAGTGCTTGCAGCGGCCCGGCGAGGTGCAGCGGTGCGGGCCTGGCTGCCTGGCCACAGAGCCCTTTCGGGCGAACTCGGAGGAGGTTGTACAGTCAATTTCAGCGTGGCTCACAAGCCACGGTCACCCTCACTATGGCTAAACAGATGCACACCTTGACCCAGCGTCTGAAACGCCCACAACCGAGCACCATTTTCTAAAAGTGGAGTGGCGTTTCACGCTGAGAGCAGGAAGCAGTTGTCTCGGCTGCCAGCATACTCCCCTCATATAGTAGCCTAGCTTGCCAAACCCTTGGCAGCTCTGATGAGGCTGCAAACTCACATTGGAGATTAGTATGCATTTTACCTGACATGCGTCCTGTGGCACCAGTGCTAGCACCTCATGCAAGCTACCCAATGCTGGTAGGCATGTCAAGCACACCTGCACTGCCAACTGTTTTGCGCATTTTGTGATAATGCAGATCTTTCGATCAAGAGGAACGAGTACATTTTCTTGATGTGTTGATGTCCCCTTGCTTTTCACGCAGCAGCCAAGGTCACATGAAATATGAAGATATATTTTATGCTTAAAACACTTTAGCCGAGTGAGGAGGCGAGTGGCATTGCACTTTGGATCACCACACAGACTTGCTGAATAGCAAAAGCGTACTTCTTTTACAGTTGAGCGCTACACCAGTCACGCTTTTCTTAAGCTAAGCTGATTAGGTGAGGTCGATAATAGATGCAGCAAGGTTCTTTGTTGTGCTCGCCCCCTTCTACCGTTGTCGCGCTTGGGGGCTGCTGTTGATTAGGGTCTTGGAAGTTCGTTGTAGTCTGGTCACTCTTGTGATATGGACAGGCAGGGTGTTGGAACAAAAAGATTTTTGTTGTTTGGTTTCAGTTTCATTTCATACAAAAATGTTCCGTTCTGGTTAGACTCCAAAACAAAAAAAGAATAATTTGTAACGATTTTTGTTTTCATGCAAGAAAAAAAAAATAGAAATGAGAACAAATATTTGAGGAGAAAACTTAACATTCATTTTTATTGAAAAGTAGATCATTAAACAGCTCTAGCAAGCAGTGGCGTCACAAGGGGGAACGGGGGGTGTCGGCCGCCCTGGGTGCAGCGCTCGGGGGGCTGTCGCAGCGGGCCACGCGAGAGCGGAGGGTGTTGCGGCGTACTACCGCCGCAGGTGCCGCTGACCCTCGTTACGCCACTGCTAGCAAGACAAGTGCGCTCTTCAGGCACGCAGGCAGGATTTTATTTTGAGGGCGGGATCCCGCTCATGGTAAACCGCCAAAGATGGGAGAGAGGAGGTCCCAGCAAAACTGAAAATTTTGCTATAGATGGGGGGGGGGGGAGCCTGCCTCCCCCGCCTTTCCCCCCTGCTATGTGCCTGGCGCACTTATTGCAACAATCGAAAGTAGAAGATTCAAGGTAAAAGACACTGCAAGGAAGAATGGCTTGTGGCACTGAGCATGATCCCACTCCCAATCACATTTGACGACCGCAGTGGAGTGCTCTGTATATTAAAGCCATGCTTTTCTAGTCGGCAGTCCGGCGTCAACTGGAGACCTCCGGAACAAAGAGCATGCACAGGCAAAGCCCGGCAACCCATACTGTGGGAAGGATTCAATTGCACTTGAGTTTTTCAAGATACCTCAAATATTGTGTGTACCAAGGTGCTTGCTATTTCATGGAATAGATTCCCTTAGTGAAGCAATCACTTTTTTTTATTCCAGGAACCCTCATCTGCTTCCCAGGAACCTGGGACCTCTAACCAAGCCCCACTGCTAGTACGTATTTTTCAGAATTGGCTCATTTAAAAGTGCACCTTTGGGCACTGATGATAAAAGTGGTATCTTGTTAATACTGAGAGCCCCAGATGAGTCGGACCCTACTGACCCTGCAAATATAGGCAGCAAAAGTGGCTTTGGCATCACATAACAGGAATTGGTTCCCCTTGCATCCACATTTTGTTGATGCTCGGCATCTTGGTCATCAACTCTTGGCGCATTTAGAGTGAGGGCAAATGTGGCCACCTGCATAACTATGCTCTAGTGATTCCATGCGTCCCCGCAGCATTCATGGTGGTGGTTATACAGGGTGTTTGTGGAAACGCACGCCAAATCACTCCTACTGAATCTATGCATCACACAGAAAATCTACGCATCACATCATATCCTACTAAATCTACGCGCAAGCAGTCCACAATAGCCTTCTCATATCACTAAAATGGTAACCATATTGCTTTGTAATATTTTTGAAGGCTAAAAGCAACCTTTTATAATTAACTCATGAAGTGATTAAAAGGGCACTGAAGACTTTTTTTTAAGATGCATGTTTTTGTTGTATTATGTAGTAGGGGGGTGCAAGTTAACATGTGTTCGCTATTTAGACACTGCTGCAAACTAAGTTTCCCCTTGCCTTTTTGTGCGGGAGCGATGTGTCTGCTCGTCTGCTTCCCGAAAAATTCACTTGCAACACTTGTGGAAGACATTTTCTTTCTCGTGCCAGTGGGTTCCGTCTGGAATTTCTTATGGTCTGTGGAACATTAACGCTCTAATATGCCTGCGTGTTGACTTCCTGTTTGGGTCAATCTGCGAGGGAACCATCACTCATGATTGGCTGACTAGCACCTTTGTCATTCAGCTTTGTTCAAATGCACTGGCACCACCCCTTTGTGTTCAGCAAAAATTAAAAAAAGGGGCATTTCGCAAACTGATCGCATTCTTAATAGGAAAATAGGCTCGGCATGGTTGTGATCTTTAGATTTTTAGGATGCTTAGATTAAATAGAATGAGTTATCCCTATGGATAGACACTCTCAATAACCTCTTAGTGCCCCTTTGATATTTTCACTTGCTCAGTTATTGGCACACAATATATTCCCTGATATGTTAGACACGGTGTCAAACACATGGGCAGACATGCATTAATACTGAAATTCGGATATCTTTGTCAGCCGTAAATTCATTCTGGAAAGTTTCGTGCTCTCAATTTATGTTGTTATCCAAGAAAGTCTTCATTGGAGATTTATATGATGTACATAGAGGTTATATGTGCACCCTGCTTACATTGGAAGTTTTTGTTTTCAGTCTCAGGAAACTGAGTACTCCAGCACCCAGCCAGATGACCCGGTGGACAACACAACGTTGAGTGTAGTTAAAAAGTTAAAACCCAAACAAAAAGGCTTTTTGTAACATTTCTTATTTATGGCTGGTTTATGTTGAATTTGAAACCAAGAAAAACAGTGCGTGTATAAACAGAAAGCAGTTAAACTTGCTGTAGTAGTGTTTCTGACCTAATTAGGTAATGAGGTATTAATTAGTAAAAAGTTGGAGCATTTTCAAAAGAAAGTGGCTGAAAATGCATCTTCATTTCCAGATTTGTTTTTAGAGAAACCAGCAAACTGAACTATTGAACATGCCTCTCCCTTCTTAAAAGGCACCTGAAAAGATTTCTCGGGTGCGTGTGGCTACATTCACTGCACTCTCCTCGGTGCTTGGGAATTTTGCTAATCGTCTATTGCTCTGTTTGATTGCACATTTCTGGTATAGCAGTGTCCTCTAAAGCAAGGACTGTTTGTTGATTTTGTGAAATTGTGCTATATTTGGCTTTATAAATTCATGTCATTTTTGTTGCACAGGATTCCTCCTTGTCTGAATCTTCAGAAGACGACTTCGATTCAGAAGAGTCAAGTGAGGACGACACATTCCATGACGCCTCCGATGAGGAGCCTGTCTGTGGAATGGAAGGAAGTGTGCCATCCAATGATGAACGTGTTTGTAGTGGGGGGGTGACTAAAGCGGAAGCCCTCATTTTGATTATTTTGTTTGTAATCCGCAGCGGGCTTTCAATGACTGGGTTGAAGGACGCCTTTTTTCTGGTAAACACCTTGTTTGGAAGGCCGGTTGTGCCTAGCTCCCTCTATATGTTTGAGAAGTCTCTAAACTTCTGTAAGAATTTCGATCTCGTTTATTATTGTTTATCTTGTTCTGTTGAATTGACCTCCACTGTTCAGAAGGACATACAGAAGTGCCGGATTTGTAAAAAGTTGTTTGACGTTAGGAAATCTGATGGATCTGGTTTTTTTTTGACAGCCTCATTAGCGTCTCAGCTGAAAAGTGTTCTAGAGAGTTTTTCTGATCACAGCTTCTTAACTACAAGGTTTAATCGACCAAACAACACATTTTCTGACATATGTGATGGACATATGTACAAGGACTTATGTAAAAAATTCTCAGTTCTCGGAAATCCCAATAACATTTCTTTTACCTTTAACACAGATGGGTGCCCAGTCTTTAAAAGTAAAAATTGCTCTATCTGGCCACTTCAACTTATTATAAATGAACTCCCGGTCTTTGAGAGGTTTAGGAATGTCATCCTTTCTAGTGTGTGGTTCGGAAAGAATCACCCTCCAATGGAGCTGTACATGAAAAGCTTTGTGCAACAGTGTAAGGTTCTGTGTGATCAGGGGTTTGTATGGAAGCGCAACGGCACTGAGGTGCTAAGTAAGGCTTTCGCAGTATGCTGCAGTGTGGATTCGGTGGCCCGTCCTTTGTTACAAAATATGATGCAATTCAATTCTTATTTTGGTTGCGGTTGGTGCCTGCACCCTGGATCTCTCGTTAACAGGTCAATTCGCTATACGGTCTCTGCAGAGGTAGCTGATGACAGACAATCGAAAAGTGCAATCCGTGACATGCGTGAAGCTGCATCACATGGTGTTATTTGCAAAGGGTTTAAGGGTCCGTCTGCATTGCTCAACTTGCCATTTTTTAACGTTATTGAATCCTTTGTTCCAGACTACATGCATGCCGTCCTCCTCGGCGTGTCTCGTACACTTTTGAGCTTGTGGTTCGACAGCAACACCGGAGGGGGGTTTTATCTTGGAGATCCGGCAACCGTGAGGCTAGTAGATCGCAGAATGAAGGCCATCAAGCCTCCTTCTAAGCTCGGCAGGTTTCCCCGGGGGGTCAGTGAACGAAAGCTTTGGAAGGCACAAGAGTACCGGTCGTGGCTTCTGTATTATTCGTTGCCGGTCCTCTATGGCATTTTGCCAGAACCCTTCCTTGGGCACCTCGCTCTTCTTGTACACTCCATTTTTTGCCTAATTCAGGACACACTTACAGGGGACGACATCAACATGGCCCAAATTTTGTTAACGGAATTTGTGATCAAATACAATATGCTATATGGGGACATCAACATGGTTTTCAACGTCCACTTACTCCAGCACTTGGCAAAGGATGTTTTTCGTTGGGGGCCTTTGTGGACCCATTCGGCCTTCTGCTTTGAGTCGTACAATGGCGTTTTGGTTAAATCTATCAAAGGCAACCGTGGAGTAGCTATGCAGGTGTTACACAAAGCTATACTTAAACAGTCTGTAAATTTTTATGTCTTAACTAAAGGAACGGATGTAATGAAGAGATCCCTTGCATTTTTCAAGGATGAGAAAAGGTGCCACTCGGGGGACACAGTCTCTGGCGTAACTCTTTTGGGCCAAGCACAGCTGTCCAAGTTCAGTAATGCCGAAAAACGATGCATTATCACTGCCCTTGGTACAGTTCCTTCATGTCTTTCAGTCTTCTTAAGATTCATCGCTGGAGGAGTTGTGTACCATTCAGCTCAATACTCACGTCCTCAAAGAAGCGATGACACTGTTGTAGTTCTTCAAGGCGAAAAGTTCGGCATTATTCGTTCGATTTTTTCTTACAGGCTTAACAGTGCACAGGAAGTCGGTTTAATTGTGGAGGTACTCGAAGTTGAGGATGCAGCATTTTGTGGTGCTCCCCATATTGCAGTTGGGGAGTTTTCTTCCCTCGAAATGGTCGCTGTTTCAGCACTTTTGAGGAAGGCAGTGCGAGTGGATGTCGAGAACTCTTCGTTTGTTTGTAAGGTTCCCAATCTTCTGGAAATTAACTGATGCAGGCTGGGCTGCAGTCTTAATAGGTTACCAGTTTTATTTTTAATTTGTCTGCTTGTTCAGGGTGCCTTCTGAATTGCTTCTTTCAAATTCTCTGACTTTTCCAAGTTTTCGCTGACTACGGTAGAATACCGTGCGTCCGCCCACACCACACTAAGCGCCCATTCCCAAATTTGTAGGATCTGAGAAAATACGGAGAGTACATTTATATGTAAAACTGATGAGCGGAGAGGGGCCCATCCGCTTTTTTTGCAATTATCTCCAAAGTTTGAGTGGGCACTTGCTTGGTATTTTACATTATGTTCAGTGCGGGTATGCCGATGCACCGTGGTGCTTCGTTGCATGCCACCATGCCACTTAAATTGGCTGTTTTTCCCGACTTCAGCTAGCTGCTTGGTGGTTTTCCCGATTATTCTGACTTTTCAAGATGTCGTAAATTCTCTAGCAATTCCCAGTTTTAGTGTTTCGGTTGCATCTTGGGGAATTTGTGTACTGATATTGTTTGCCCCAGGTCCTCCGAGCTTTGATGCATTAACACACTTGACCACAGATCCTTCTCTTTAAATGCCATTGAGCTTCCATTTATATTTATACTTTCAATGGTAGGTGGATGTAGCCCAGAATCCCTTGCTTCTCCAGTGCAAGCTTTCCCTCCACATGTCCAGTGCTGTGGCACGTTAACACACTTGGTCACCAATTCCTCCTAATGCCGTTGCGCTTCCATCAGGGTGTTTATCAAATTACTGAATTTAAATTCCCTGACTGTTTCAGGTTTTTCCCTGACAGTTTGTGGGTCGAAGGATGGCATTTCAGCAACATTATTTAGCATATAGGTGTGCCGATGTGCAACCGTTGCACTTCATTCTGCACCGCCGTGCCACTTTCAATGGTCATTTTCCCCTATTTAACCACCTTTCAGACGGTTTTCCTGATAACTCCCAGACTTTTCCAGATGATTTGAAATTCCCTGAAAATTCCAGGTTTTCCAGGTTGGTAGACATCCTGTTCCATGCATATTTGAGGAGTTTTTTTTTTTTTTTTCTAAGGGCCAAACTTATGTGAAGCGAAACTGAGATAACGTGAGAATGTTTGCTTATAAAATTAGCTTTTAACTAGTCCTATAATGCAGCCACCTGCACCATGGTTTTCCTTGCATATTATGACTGATTTCAGCTTGCTGCAATTTTTGGGAACGATGCACACCCACACGTTTTCCAAATTTTAGCAAAAATTGGCTTAGTTACGGTTTGTGGACTTAGCTCATTTTGAGAAAAAATTCTGCTGTATAATCTATTTATGCTTTTAATATTGGGAGAGGATTTTGAGCCCAGAATCCCTGGCTTCTGCAATGCATGCTTTCCCTTCTCATTCTCCAAGCTGCAGTGAGGCAACACACTTGGACACCCATTCCCCATTTGAATGCCATACTTTGATGCATACTTGTGTGCATGCTTTCAATGTTCTCTTATACCCCCCTCACTCAACTTTATGCAACACTTCTCTGAAACGTGAATTCTTGTAGTATTTTATGAATATTGTGAACACATGGGCTTCACTGACACTTAGTCATTACAGTGCAAATTTGAAATATGGTATCTGATAATATGTGTAATATAGATATATGCATCTCATTCAAAGAAAACTATTTGTCCTTCTATTCGCTTTGCAGTCGAACGTCATATTCTGTGGTTTGAGAAACTGCCTTTATGTTAGATTCAGTTGCCATCCTGCCGTGGAATGATTGTTTTGTCATGTAGAGCTGTTATTGTACTTGTTTTTCTTGTCTCATTCTATGGCCATTGGATCTGCATATAAAATAAACATACAGAGTCCAGTCAAGTCCTCATTGTGCATGTTTTCCTCAGAACTGCCTATTTATACCTGTTGTTACTAATGACAACCTGTGAGTACTCATATTAACGCAGAACATATGTCTGATAAGGCCAGAACAATCCAGAACACAAGACTGGCAACTTCAGAGTAATGTTGACTAAAGAAAAACTGTCAGAATGAGCTGTGACGCATGAGCGAAAGATTCTGTAATGTATATATAGTTTCTTCTCAAAAGCATATGTGCTGGTGGGCATGAGTTAACGTAAGAAAGCAGCTGTTTTAGCTTACTGTCGCATACTAAAATGCAAGCTGCCTAGGGCTGAGTACTTTTTCACATTTTCAGCAACATGACTAGTACATAGGGTCCCTGAAGGTTTCCCACAGACTTCTTAGAGTGCTCACTGAGTATGTGTAGGATACCTACAGTCTCCCACACAGTGTCCCGCTTGTCTCATAAAGCCCATGGTCCTGATCACATGGCGTGAATTACCTAAAGCCATCGACACAATGTCCCATAGAAACTAGTACTATACCCGCAGGATGTGTCGGTTACAAAAAGTAACCCGCACAGCCTCCCACATGTCTCGTAGACCCACAGCCCTATCCCCACATGTCTCGTAGACCCACAGCCCTATCCCCACAGGCTGTGTGGGTTACAGAAAGCAACCCACAGAGTTTCCCACATGTCCCATAGACCCACAGCCCCATCCCCACAAGGATTTTGGGAGTCCTACAGAGACCCACAGGTGTCCCATAGAGCTATGTAGGACCCCACACAAATTCTCTGTGGGTGCTCTGTGGGCATTTGGACCGGGGATGCAAGTGGACGCTGGCTACCCAGTTTGTGTTAGTTCGCGTGAGGTTTCCCGTCAGCACAAGGAGCGTTGGCCGGCGCTGTCCGAAAGCAAACTGCGACTCCGGTGCTACTTGGGGAAGCTACCCGTTCTCAGGGAGCCACACATGAGAGCGGCCATTCAAGACGTCATCGTACCAGTGTCACTGGTGGTTGTGGATTACGAGGGACTAAGGCTTTGCAGTCGAGACGTGATTGCAAGGTTGAACTTGCTCGACTCCACAGTGTCAAGTGTCGTTTTAGGACCACCGGACGGTGTAGGAAACCTTCTCATCGAGTACCGAGACCTATTTGAGCCTGGACTGGGGACCATCAAGGGAGCACCAGTACACCTGCACGAGAAAGAAGCGGCGGTGCCCAAGTTTATAAAGGCAGGGCTACTTCCTTACGCTCTTCGCGAAAAAGGCTCCAAGAAGATAGATCGGTTAATAAAGTCTAGAGTGCTTTCACCTGCCAGTCATTCTAAGTGGGCAGCCCCGAGTTTGACTGGGCAACCCCGACGGCGAACGCGGCATGCAATAACAAGCAATATCCTTTACGGAATATAGCGGCTATGCTTGCTTCGCTGCGAGCTAGGTCAGTATTCAGCACATCAGATCTCCGAGACGCCTACACCCAGGTGGAACTAGGCAAAAAATCTAGGAAACTAACGGTTATCAACACGCACCGAAAGCTTTATTGTTTTAATCGTCTGCCGTTTGGAATTGCCTCGGCGCCGTTGATTTTTCAAAGGAAGATGGAAAGCATATTGCCAGGACAAGGGGGAGTACAGGTGTACTTAGACGATGTTCTAGTGGCAGAGCAACAAGGAACCGACATTTTAAGGCGTGTGCTGCAGCGTTTCCGGGACATGGGTGTCAAGCCTCGGCGATCGAAATGTCAGTTTAGGAAACCAGACATCACTAACTTGGGCCATAGGATTGACAAAAAAGTCCTTTAACCGATGGAGAAGACATTGGAAGCCATCAGAGAGGCACCAAAACCCACGAATGTAACCGAGCTGCCCTCTTTCCTGGGGTGCTCGCATATTACCCCCGGTTCCTTCCCAAGATGTCTACCTTGTTAGCACCGTTATACGAGCTGCTCGAGAAATATCAAAAGTGGCGCTGGGGGCCGCTGGAAGAGGAAGCCGCGAAACGGGCAAAAGCGGTCTTCCTGACGTCGTCGGTCCCAACATTTTTCGACCCTAACATGCCTCTCTGATTAGAATCTGACGCGTCAACCACCGGAGTTGGAGCCGTGTTGTCCTACAAAGCTCAAGGTATCGATGAGCCGATAACGTTTCGAACCCGAACGCTCACGCCAGCGGAAAGACAATATTCACAACTGGAAATGGAGGTCCTGGCTTTAGTAGTTGGCGTCACCAAATTCCGGGCAATCTACTAAGCCGCAGATGTATCTTAGTCACGGATCTTCAGCCATTGATGTGCCTGCTACGAGAAGACCGGCCAATTCCGTTGCTGGCTTCCGGGGGGATTCAACGGTGGGCCTTGCTGCTGAGCGATTTTCTGTACAGTATTGGATTTCGGCCAGGGAAACAAAACGCGACCGCCGATGCATTGAGTCGCCTGCCAATGCCCCAGCATGGGCCACCAGGGGAAGAGCCTCCAGAATTCGTGTTAACGGTGACCCCGGTAGACGACACCTTTATTTTCGCACAGAGTTTGAAAGACCTGACATGAACGGACGTCACTTTGTTCGAAACCATGAAGTATGTTCAAAACGGCTGACCCCATGTGTTGCCAGAAAGTTGGTCGTTCTTGTAACCGTACTTTTACAGTAAGCTCGAGTTGTCTGTGTACCAGGTGTTACTCTACTGGGGCCGGCGCCTCGTGATCCCAACCAAGGGCCGCCAGGAGATGCTGATGCTGCTACACGAATCACACCAAAGGATCACTGCCATGAAGAGGAAGAATCGGTCATCGTTCTGGTGTCCCGGACTTGACGGTGAGGTGTAACTACTGAGCGGAACTGTCAAGAGTGCATAGAAGCCGCCCCAATGCCCCCCAAGTGCTCACCAGTGAAATGGCCAGAAGCGGAAGAAAGACGGTCGATACTGCATATTGATTTGGCGGTGCCCATTCATGACAAAATGCTGTTAAATAATATATACTCGCACTCGAAGTGAATGGAAGTTTCTATTATGCGAACCACTACTGCTGAAGCCACAGTAAATCAATTACGAGAAATATCTAGCAGATCTGAACGCCCAAAAACGGTAGTTACAGGCAGTGGGTGCTGGTTTATAAGCCAACACTTCGAAAACTTCATTAACAGTAACAATGTATGGCGTCTCCGCAGTGCACCATATTACCCCGAATCTAACGTGCTGGCGGAACCCGCCATTGGAACAATTAAGAACGGCCTCGCAAGGATGAAAAAGGGAGATTTAGAAAAGAAGCCGGCATAGTTGCTCATCAACTACCGCAGGACGCCCCTCCCAGGTAATACATCCCCGTGGGAACTACTTCTAGGCTACCGAATTTGGTCACGCTTGGATATATGTGTACAATCATGCCCCGTGTTCCACGACAATGTGCAGGAAGAAGCAGAATCCGGGGACCACGGAGCAGAAGTATGGGTCCAGAACTTTTTTACAGCCGACAAATTGTCACCAGGCACGGCCACGTTCAATCTGAACTCAAGAATGTTAGTCATCGAGACTCCGGGGAGAACGGTTCGTCGACATCGGGACCAGGTTCGCTCCAGGCACGGCCCGGTGGGTTCCCAGGAAGGCCGCCAGGCTGACTCGATAGACCTTCCAAACCGGAACCCGGGGGACCACAAGTGGACCAGGAACCGGCAAGGCAGCCAGAGGCTTCAGACGCCGGCGTTCAAGAAACGCCGGCGTTCAAGAACCGAGGTCTACGCGGACCCGGAACACTATCCAGCGGTTTCAGTATTTATTTATTTATTTATTTATTTATTTATACATACTGCAGCCCCGTTGGGGCTATTGCAGGAGTGGGGAGAAAACTCACAGTGCACAGAATTCAATATTGAATAAGACAGAAAAATCAAAACATCGTAAAACAGGATAAACCGCTGTCAACCGCACACAGAAAGCCGTCTGGAGGTAATGAACGAATGTTACCGGGTAGCAGATTCCAATGTTCAATTTATCTGGGGAAAAAACTGTATTTGAACATACAGTTTTGTGCGTGCATAAAATGGTGAAATGTTTAGACCATGTGTTCAAATGTGTTCATGTGATCAAATGTTTAGATCACATTAAGAGAAGAAGAAATTTTGTATCGTCATCATTACGGTGGAATCTGTCAAAGTTACATGTCCAGATGTTACTGTTGTTATTTGGCGATAACACCCTTTTGTTTTGATGCCCCAACATCGGGCGATATCATTGGGGCTCGTGGAAATAAAGTTACGTCATGCACTGGACAGTGACCAGAGTGGTCGTTCCCAGCGCGGAGCGCAGACCGCCTGCGCGACGGACGATAATGTAACAATGGTGATAACGCTTTCCGGTTTTGATTTCCCTTTTAAAAAAGTTGAGTAGTCTTTTTCAACTAGTTGCCTTCGTTTGTGTCTTCCGTTACTTGATTTCGATGGTATTAAAAAAATCAAGATATGATGACGCAGCTTTTTGACAAAGTGTTTGTAGCAGTGCTTCGTTGGTGCGCGAGCAAACCCCGAGTGCCCCAGAGCTTCAAATTTCAAACTCGACATCGTCATACAATAGCCTGAGCTTGTCGGTGTGGTAGGAGTTATTTACTCTTCTTACTACCAGCAACCATGCCATGTGTCCTTAAATTATGTTGTTTTCGACCAGAAATCTTGCTTTAAAAATGTCCTCTGCAACTGTGTATAGTTTACGAATCCGTCAATTGCCAGAGCAGTTTTATTTGGTAGCTTTACCAGTATTTACACTTGTCATTTTCAAGCAGTATCTCGTTTTTTGTTGATTGCAGTGTCAATCTAGTCGCACAAGACTTGCACTGACTGAATATTTCCGATAACTTGTTGGATTTCTAATTTTAAAAGTTTGACTAAGGCGAAGAGGTTTAGAATGAGCGTATAGCGCGGAGGTATCCGATATCTTGAGAGTGGTAGTTCATTGGTCATCTCCGTCCAGTTTCCTCTAGACTTTTCTTTTGTTGTCTCATACGATCGGGATACCATTTGCTAAGATACCAAATGCTAAGGTATAATCTTCCATTTATTCTAAATAAACTTCAGAAGCATAATTTAACAAATATCGAGAGACTGAATCTTAGTACAATTAGAAATTTTTTCCTGTATTAAAATTTCGCTTGTATTGTGAGGTCGTGTGTTCTGTATGTTTCAGTTATCCTTGAGGTAGTACGATTATTATTTTTAGTCCTGTCATGTACCTAAATATGCGATGTGCTTATATATATGTGTGTATATGCGCGTGTGTATGATGTGTATGTATGTATGTGTGTGTATGTATGCCTGTATATATATGACTGTATATACATATGTATATGTGTATGTGTATATATATATATATATATATATATATATATATATATATATGTATATGATTTTTTTTTATCTTTCACAGCGTGTTTAACTTATGCTGTTCTTCTGGGTCTTTTTTTAAAATTATTTATTTATTTATTTATTTGCTTAATGTTAAAAGCTGAAAACTTAATGTTATTACTTCATGTGTAGTATGTCGCCGTGTGCCAATTGTAAGGCTGCAGAGGCCTTGTCAAGTCAAACTTTTGACTTTTTGCCCCTGCAGCCTACATCAGTTTCTGATGTGAAATAAAGGATTGATTGATTGATTGATTTTGAACTGGCCATCTTTTCTTCTTTGCGTGTAATCACGCATGTCTCTTTCAGTCTGGGTCTATAAACTGCAATTGGGATTTTTTTTCATTCTTGGGATGTTGAATTCTACTTCTAGCTCACATACGGGGACTGATTCCATTTCTAGAAGAGCGGTGCCTTCGGTAACAATTCTGGTCTTGGAAGAGACTCATTGAATACGAGCGCTATGTTGGCGTTCGGCTGGGTCTCATGTCCAATTCAACGTGTCCAAAAACGCTCGGCATCGGTTTGAGGTCAATTTCCGAGTAAGCGCCTTTTGATTGTTCCTTTTGATTGTGATGGCGTTCCATGGAGAAAGAGGAGGGTGTTTTTAGGCATTGAATAGTTTAGGTGGTGTTGATTAAGTACACCATTGAGTAAATATTTTGTCTGTCGCTCAAAAAAATGGTAAGGGTTAAAATTATTTATACCCCACAGTAGTGTGTATGAATAATCAAAGTGTTTTGAGGTGTGATGGTCGAGGTAAAGTCGCCCTTCCTGAAAATATTCCAGAATATAAGAGAGAGCAAATCAACCTTATTTACATGAAGAAAAACCCGGCCATGGTCTCCTAGAGGTGTTTAAGTAGTGTCAGGTTCTCATATTCTTTTTGCAACTTGCGCCGAGACGGCCTAGCGTGATCAGCGAGGGCTTCAATAGCCACGTAATTCCTGCGGATGGAGCAAACCACTCCTTACAGTTGGTGATGTCAGGGGGAAGAAGGAAGGTAGAGGGTACAGGGGGCACGCTCAGTATGCGTGGTGCTTCGAGGAGTAGATGCCATAGGTCTGTCAACAGGGACGGGTGTGGCGCCGGTGAATACTTTGGAGGATGTTGTGCGACGGCAGTGAAAATGTCTATACCTGTCTGATGAGTTGTGCATCGCCTCGGCTGAGGTCGGCGCGTTATGCGAGTAGTAGCGTGCGGCGATGTTTTAGTCGATAACTCTCTGTTATTAGGACAGTATGTCTAGGTTAGGCCAGCGAAAGGGACGGGGGATGGGTACAGGAACTGGAACTTAAGTCAACACGTTTGCTCTTGCTGTACCCTGCATTGAGGCGTGGCCTGGTGCACACTAAACGCAAATGATGGTAAGGGTAGGGTTGCAATATGAAAGTGAGGAAGGTGCGTGTATAAAAGTTGACTTGATTGGGTACGTAGCTGCGATGAGCATCTTAAGAGTCTGAGATTGTTAATGTTGGGGGCTGGATGTACGTTTGGAATCAGATATCCTCTATTGCTAGGGAAATTACTTGCTCCTCTGAGGCTGCGATGGCTGGTGGGTACTCTACTACATGTTTGCGTTGTTGGGGGGGGGGGGGGGGGGGGGGGGGATAAGCCCTTCTTCCTGTGTTGGTATCGGACTTAAGACTCGCTTACCTAAAATAAATTCCAGTTTCCTCTCGTTTTAAGGTCTGTAAACTTTTTGTTAGACCGCGCGCTCGAAATTTCCGCCGCTTTTTTCTTTCTGTCTGGGTCCATGTTCCGCGGTAGTAGCTTTGCCAGGATGTTGGGCAGGGCATCCAGTGGGGGTGACTCTGGTGGTTGCCTCTAGTACTGAGGTATAGTAGTAAATGAGGAATAATATCTGCCAACCTTGTTTGAATGTCTTGGCGCGTTGTGGGTTGTAGTGTTCTGAGTTCGTATAGAGTGTGGCATGACACCATGCCGATGACCTCTTGTGTCGAGGCGTATTGTGGGATTCCCAGAGCGAGGCGGATTCGCAAACCTGAGTTTTCATCACTGCCCCAGCCTCTTCCCCTGGCTCCCACCCCGCTTCTTCCTCTTTACAGAGTGGTGGGAAATTTACTAAACACCACTTTAAGAAACACTACAATTATAATAATTTAATTAAAAAGCTATCACCACGTCTACAACATATAACAAAATACTTTATATGTTTATAATACCCAACGTATGTCAGTGTGTATTCTCACCTCTTTGTTTACAGGCGTCTGTACGACATACATTTTTTCCGGGCACACCTAGTGAAATAGAAACGTAATAGACACTTAGACGAGATGCAACATTTATCTAATAGTTAGCAGAAAATATGCAAATTGTTACCATGGCAACTGATATATTTATTTTAAAGTAAGCTTAAAACAGCGATTTCTTTGGGATAAAGGTAAGGACCGCAGCAGGCGGAAGTCAAATTATGGGTATAAGGTGATTATTCATGAATTAATGACTAGAAGCTTTTTACTAACTTTTGCCATATTCTCCTTAGCTGGCAAATTCCAAGGAGATATTCGTTGATTGTCTGCTGACTGTCTTCGCCCTTTTTGATGCTGTCCTCTTATTATTGTGGGAATTCTCATAAGGATGTGAGGCTGTTTGTTGCCAATCATACGAAAACTAGTAAAGACTGTGCCTAAATCTGCACTCCTGAGGATATATCAAATTGTGGCGCCCAGCGCCATGACCTATATGACCACGTGATTTCAGATTATGCGACATTCTCAGATCGGTTCGCGAAGATTTGCTACCCGCAACGGAGTCTTATCTTCGGGACAGATGCTAGAGAGTTTCTCGGAGCAGAATGTAGCTCACTGAATTGTAACAGCAATGACAAAATTTGCCAAAAGGCAAAAATTAACTTATTAAAATGTGCCGGCTAATGCAAACATTTCTGAATATAATTACCGTAAAACCCTTAATATTCGCGAGCCCTTAATTTTAGCAAATTTCGCGCATAAAAAAATTCTCGAAATTTAAGTGCACGTGAAAATTTCGATCCTGAAGAGTTTCGATGCAAGCGTCTGAAATTCGCGAAATTTAGTTGCCGCGATTATGTCCTCAGTGACCAATTCGCAAAAAAAAAAAGGGGGCCGCGAAAATGAAGAATTTTACAGTAGTTAATTTCTGGCATTCATTTGGTAATTGTAGTTTAACGCTCATAGTCTTAGATCTGCCACGGCCGATGGCGTTATCTAGAAGAAATAACTTGTTTATTTAATGTCTTTATTTTATAGTATTCTTACTTTCTGTGGAATCACCCTAAGCCGTATTCGCCGTACGTTACTAGAATATTATTACCTCCGACATTTGACTTCACCTCTTAAAATGATCAAGTGGTAGGTCGTGGTAATCAGAGCTAACTAAGCACTTCGTATTCACCGACCACGTTTAGGGCTTAGTAACCATAAGCGACTTAGACGGCGAATGATCAACCTTAGACAGATGGTATGGCTGTTTAACGATGAGTGGCTACCGGCACAGCGCCATGAACGATTTCTATCACAGCTGACCGCCAACGCTAACGAAGCAATTATAGTGTTGGAACGCTGTTGGACACATCTAAAACGAACCGGAGCAGCAACTATTGTGTTAATGGGCATGTTCAGAGGTCAGAGATGCCGCTAAAAGAATATCAGCCAGGCATTGACCGGCGAGAGAGTTCACATTTATTCGCACATCCATATTTGTTAAAATCTCTGGCAATGCAACCTCTGTCTTTACTCCCTAGCGTTTTTTTTTTCGTTTTTTTTTAATTTTCTTTGTAGAACCTTTTTTTTTTTTTTTTGTCTGGGCACTCCGAATCTCATTATGACGTGTTATTTTTGCTCATAGATATAAAATGATTAGTTCTTACATTAAAAAATCCCCATTAAGGTAGTGGCGTTTAAGTACGAAGCATCCGGGTCCTATCTTTTTATTCCTCTTCCGCCTGTTACTCGTGAGAAGATAGTCAGCGGCTTGCTTCGCGCTTGTAAATACTGCAGGCCTACTCGCTCTTTATTCGCCAACTTTTTTGTTTGGCTCGCAAATGGTAATCGACGCAATACTGACCTTAAAACAGCGCTAGTCAATCACGACAGGTGATCACGGCTGCCAGTGCTTATTTAAACACTTTGTCGAAGTAATATATAACGCGTAAAAAAAAGTATGCAACAAAAAATATTTATACTCACCACATGATGGTATTGGTTGGCTGAGTCCAGCTATTTCAACAATCATGTATAATGCCCAGATTGCAATCAGCTGTTGAGCATGAGGAATCATGAACTTATGCTTCGATGACCAAATCTCACGTCTGCGCATAATTTCTGAAGATCATAGAAAAAGTTTGCTCGTTAAAGAAAGAGCCGTTTTCGTAAGGAAAACCTTTTAAAGCATTTTGCTTAACGGATTACATGTGCATATTGCTCGTATTTCAGGAAGTTCGCTTGTTCACCATTGCATTGCTGCGTGCGCCACAAAGTTGGCACTGCACGCGGCTGCGAACTCTGCACTTCAATGTTAGAGTATTGAATTCAATGTTACTAAAACACTTAATTGTGAAAACTCATCCTTGAAACCTGGGCCGCTGGCGTCTACCGAAACCGAGCAAAATACACTAAAAGCGCCACCATTCAGCGACGAGTTGAAAAATGAAAGCTCATTATATGGCTACTGTTACAGTCAGTGAATGCTACCAGAGTACCGACACTCCAAGGCTCGAGGTGCCATGATGGCGGTTCAATATTTTGACTAAATACTCCGAGACTGGAATGAGAAGGGACGGACAGACACAACGTCTAAAACACAGTTGATATTTAATCGACAACGAAAGGGCTTATATAGGCATCATGATTCCGGCGTGGGATTCTCAATTCTGCCTCTCTCTTTCTTTATCTCTCTCGTCTCAAGTGTTTTCTGTAGGATTTGAGGCCTATATGAGCCCTTTTGTTGTCAAATAAATTTAAGCTATGTTTGAGACTTTGTGTTTGTCCGTCCCTCCTCGTCCCAGTCTGGGAATTTTCAGTCAAATGTTCAATCTCCACCAGCTCGTTTGCGCCCTAGCCTTTGTTCACTGGTTTAATTATTTTCTTTACTGTGGTCACCACAAACTTTTCCAAAGCATGTTTTTGTGAAACAACAAGCGGGAAAAGCTATTTCTGTGGGACATTGGATGGGAAACTAGTACGAAATTGTAGGAGAGTTATGTTTTCATGAATATTAAGTGTACAAGGTTTTGCGGCAGAATTAATATTGTTTTCATGCAGCCATGTCTCATCAATGACTTCAGGTAGCGTGTCCCAACCTGGTTGCGTCTGAACATCGGTGATTAATCGCGGCAAGTCCGCGTGGAAGACGGGGGTTGGGAGCGGCGTCTGCGTCTCCGATACTTTTCGCGGGCCAGGTGTTCCCTAGTTCGTCGCCCGTTTCTTCCACGTAGTGAGAAGCGCATCGTCATGGCTTCAGCGTCGTCATGGCTTCAGCGTTCACCCTAGCTGTTAATACCCTCTTAACTATCCTATATGACGCAAGAACCCGTCAAGTCTGATGGCGATTTATCTTTTCAGGTGTGTGTTCCAACCTTCAGCACAGTGGAGAGTAACGTCCAGGTAATGGCGCAGTGCAATGTGGAGCAAAACTTTTCACGCCTTCTGGGGCATGCCTTCCCTGACGCTGCACTCTAAAAAAAATGGAGGAAAAAAGTAGCAACGGCGCGTCTTCCTCCCTTCTACTGACGCGCCCCCAAGCGGACACGAGAAAAGGGGAGGAACGAAACGTTTTTCTCCTTCTCCAAGTAGACGGGAGAAAGCTTTCGCCCTCCCGACTCATCTTCTTTCGGTTTCGTTTTTCGAGCAGGTCGTGCACGTTGTTTAATAAATAGCTGTTGAGTTGATTGAGCTTCACCGGCAGCGAAGGCCGCCTGTAATTCCGTCTTCTAGTCTAAACGTTCAGAACATTTCAGTTGAATTGACGTTTTTATCATTAATTTTATCAAACGAGCAAACGAAGCCGCTAGAAACAGCGAAGTTCCGGAGCAGTGCCAGCAGCGCCACGTACACTGGGTAGGATGTCCGTCTCCGGATTGCGGGACTCACGCGGCACGGAACTACAGTAGCGAAACCACGCGGGACTGTGTCGATGTTTTCGACGTTATGGAAACCGCAGGAACTGCGTCCAAGACAGGCAGGTTTTGCTGCGGGCTGCCTGGGTGCCTTCCGTGCTGAGTTCGGTTCTGTTTTCCGATGCCGAGTGAAACCGGCGTTCAACGTGGTTCTCTATTTGTGCGTGTCAGCAACATAGCTGCAACAGCGTGATGGCAGTGTTGTGGGTTGTGAACAGAAGACTGGAATTATCGCCGATGTGACCGTGTGTTCGCGTGTCATTGGTATAACAACAAGATGAGATGGCATAAACTGTCGGGCATTGATGCCGCTGGTCTGGCCGTGATCGGAGGAGGCGGTGTGTTGCAGGTTGACATTTCGCTTTACATTAAAAAGTTTAATACCACTTGAGGGGTTACGTGCAATCGATCGACGTGCGGATAATCATGTTGGAACGCTGGGCTTAACAGTATAAGCTCCTATCGTACAGTGTCCATTGTGACTGCCGGTGCCTCTTCCCGGAGAGCGATTGCGCTCTGGTGCAAGGACAACAATACGAAATCGTGACAGAAAGTACGTATATTTACAGTGTGGAATTTTAGCATTAAAAATAATAGTAGGTAAAATAGAGAAAAAAAAAAGCTACCCTTTATTTTGCTGTTTAAATGTACTACGGTTCCTGGAAAAACTGCCCTCTAAGTGGCGCGCTGGGATGAGCGCTAGAGGTTTTCGGGCTCGCCACGGCGTAGCTCCGTACACTTAACACCTGCCGCAAGTCGCGGCTTTGACTGCATTCAAGTTGATCGAAAGGCGATTTCTCAGCCCGTGAAGCATCAATTCCATCTGAGTGAATATCCGCTGTACAGAGATTAATTCATGACGGCAATTTCAGCTTTGCGCGAACAGCACAAATAGAAAAACAAACACAACAACAGAAATACAGGCTACGACGTGCCGTGCGCGTGCGGGGAAAGAAACTCACGGCTTCGAAACCGCATTGGAGCGGCTTGATTTATTGGCTTTCAAATAATTATGGCATGATCGAGCGTTTGCTTTTTAATAAGAGATTCATCCCCTGAGCCATTCAAAATACTCTCAGAGGTATGACGTTACTGGAAAAAATCAACATGCTGGGAATATTTTTTATTGCTTATTCAGTCACCGAAAAATTCCGTCCGTTAAAACGAGTATAAACGACGCAAACGCAGAGCACGGGTGTAGTGTTCGGGTTAGTGTGTTGTTCCGTCGCATTGATTGTTGTGTGTGCCGTGTATGTCCTCAATGTATGTTCACCTGATGCTTGTAATAAGCGTAATGTGTGTATCGTAGGGGATCTCCAAGCGCAATTGTGGCCTGAGAAAATCAAATTATTTTTTGTAGAACATGAATTGGGCGGTACCTAGCGCCACCTAGCCTAACTACTTGCAATTACTCTGCTTGACCCCGCCATCTGGTGGCTAGCGATGTAACCTTCTTTCACGCTACGCGATAAACAGCGGCTTCGAGTTTTCTCTTTCGAGAGCGGCTTTTGGTTTCGCGGATTGAGTTTGCCCTTCTCCGTGATGTGCGGTTGACGAAGTAATTGTGACTCGAGGAACACCAAAGGTAAGACGCAAAGTGCGCGAAGTAACTGGGTATCGATTGTCTCCGTTTACTATCGCAGTGCTGTCAACCAGAAGACTAAGTAACTGCTTCCGAAACGCAAGTTTCTGTACCTGGGGAGGGAAATCTGGCTTCGGAAATAAACACAGTTCGCGGACAGCTCGTGTTACGTTTTTATTTGTTGCTCCTCTCGTCCCGTACAAGAGACGTAGCGTCCTCGTCAAGCCTTATAGGGCTGGATTCGCTCGATTTGGGGCCGCCATATTGAGATGCAGGCGACGGAGGAACTTTGCTCCCCTGCTTCAGGGACGAAAGTTTCTCCCTTTTTTAAGGAACATAGGTTACAAGACCGTTCCTCCCCCTAAGGGAGGGCTATCCATACCCTTTTCTCTAAGAGTGTGGTGTGATCACTTATGTCAATCAGGTTCGTCGGCCCCGAAGGTATTTCACGTTCCCTGTAATCGCGCTGGCCGAATGGGTCTTAAGGCGCAATCGTTGCTTTTCGAAGGCGCGGCTGCGTTGCCAACGGGCGACGCGGTCACTGTTATGGCGCCTGCAACGAGAGCTAGTCACTTTTCTGGAGTGTCAGCTGTTACTCCTTGGGGAGTGCGAGTTTCTGCGGCGCTAGTCCTGCCAATACCTGACGGTGCTCAACAGCCCGGTGCAATTGACTTGCCTGTCCTTGGACATGGTGTAATACGGGCACCCTGTGGTCCTGCCTCGCCGGCTGCGGCGGCCCACGTGATCATTGAGTCGTGTAAATTTTGGTGCAGAGCATGCATCACCTATGACCTTAGTTCATTGTGAGAATGCGCACTGGTTCGCATATAAATTTTTCTTACACTGAAATTTCTTCCGCATTTTAAGTTTTGGCGCCAAAAAAGATCAAAGCCACAATATAAGAGTTACAGCGGACGCTGTCGAATGCAATATTCTGGTTACTGCAAGATGACACCATCTGCCCTCGCGCCACTCGACCTGAACGAATAGGTGATGCCGGGAAATTCCCGGAGTTGTATCTGCGGGAGAAATGGCGGCGTTGTGATCACCTTTAGTTCGAATCTCGAAGACTGGACGGAGTCATTTTTTTTTTTAAATTCAGGCTTCTACGGCAGTTTCCCAACTGTGCATTTTTGTAACGTTGATTCAATTGCAAAGAATGCTACGTATATCCGCGACCTTATTTTGAACCTGTGTTTGAAAATACTGTGACCAGAGTTGTAAACCTTACAAAAAATGTAACTAAATACGTTACTCGTTACCTGCAAATAAAAGTAATGCGTTACCGTCCCACGTTTCTCCGTAATAAAAGAAACGCTTTACCGTTACCATTACCAATGAAAAGTAACGCACGTTACTTTTGCGTATTTCTTTTAAATTATGGATTAACAGGTTTGACTATTTTGACGGTGGGGGTATGCGTAACGCCATAATTTAAGAAACATTACGTCCATGTACAAACTGAACATATTTACTTTATACTTTTACGGTTTTATCTAAATACTCAGAAGGAAAAGACACTAACGAAGACGCAAAAAACTCAGAAATCCACTTGACTTAGGGCCTAGAAACTCGAAACAAATATAAGTGTAAATTTTTTGTCTTGGGAAGAAAACGGAA